AACCTCCACTATTGATGTTGATAAGCTCCTGAACCAAAGATGTGGTAGAGGATGAACCGATTATGTCAGAAGAAGGAGCCCATCTCCAAGGGAAGTCAGCCACTTATCATTCCATATATTTACCACATGCCCATTACCAACTTGCCATCGAGCTCTCTGGACAATTAAATCCCTACCATGAAGCAAGCTGCTCCAAGCCCACGAAGCGTGCAAACCCTTGGAAGCGTTGAAGGCATCCCCATTAGGAAAATAACACCCACAAAGGATACGAGCCCAGAAGGTCATAGGATGAGTGATAATCCTCTAAAATTGTTTGGCCAATAACCCAGAAAGTCGTGTGGCCCAGAAGAATACCTGATAATGACCCATCCAGACAATGATTGGTAATTAAAGTAGAAAGAGCTTCCATGACAAATAAAAATATATATGGTGACAGAGGGTCTCTTTGTTGTAACCCACGAGAGGGATTAAAAGAATCACCAAATTTTCCATTAAAGGAAATGGAAAATGACACTATCTTAACACAAATCATAACCAATGAGATCCAACAATTATGGAAGCGTCGACAGGAGAGCACTGCCTCAAGAAAATCCCATTCAACCCAGTCAGAGGCTTTATTCATATCAATTATCGTGCCCAATTCAAACCCATGCTTAGTTTTCTTATTTTTTGAGGTAGAATTTGATGACCAGGTACGAAAGCACTTTGATGTTGAGAAATGAGACTTAGAAGGTGGATTTTTAATCTGTCCGCAAGGAACTTGGAGAGAACTTTGCAAGAGAAATTGTACAAACTGATCGAACAGAATTGAGAGATTTGTTCCGGATTGGGAACCTTTGGGACCAACACCAGATTACTAGAATTCAACATGGGGAGGCTACCTTGATCCAAGAATTTAGAAACCAGACCTGCCGAAACACCATTAATAGTATCCCAACAACGCTAATAGATCATGCCATGGAAAAGCTGCTTTTAGGCCCCCCAACTCATGAACCGCCACTTTAATATCTTCCAAAGTGAATGGTTGTAGCATTTCACAATTAACAGCCTCAGAAACCATCGGATAAAGACCTACCAAAGCACCTTCAAGAGGACAAAGACCCTCGAACTTGAACAGATTCTTAAAGAAGTCGTCAATATGCTCACATATCTTAATTTCATTGACAATCCACGAGTTCTCCAAAACTCGAGGCTCATAATCCTATTATGTTGCCGTCTTTGAATTGTAGTTTTGTGAAAGAAAGAAATATTTTTGTCCCCATCCCTAAGCCAGGAAATTCACAAACGTTAGAGCCAGTATAATTCTTCCTTCCTTCATGCCTCGGCCAACAGGTTTGTGGTGGTATTGGCCACTTCCTTTCTCACAGATGAAATAACCTGGTGCTCATTCGACTTGAGCTCGAACAACAGCTTATTTATTGTCCGTCAATTGTTAGAGAATTTTTTGCTTCAGGCCACAATTTTGTCCTTACAATTGTCAATATTTGAAAACCATGATGAAAATTCAGGATGGGAATTCAAGATCCTCAACCCATGATAATTCCAAACAAAAAGGCCATGGCCAATACATAAAGCAAGAAAAAAAATGTAGAATTATAGGGTGATGATTGTATGCTACAAAAGGGTCGTGCATAAAGGCTGCGGTAGGCCAGTTCTCTAGCTATGAGTCATTTGTGAGCACTCTGTCCAACCCCTCTTCAATCTTACCCAAATCATCCCAGTCTCTCTCCTAAGTGAACTTTGGACCCAAAAAATCGATATCCACCAGGGCTTTAGCTTGAATAAACTCCATGAGGTAACGATGTCTATTAGACTCCCACTCTCTGCCATTGGATTTTTCATGCGGCCCTAAAAGTTCATTAAAATCCCTCATGCAAATCCAGGGTCAACCCCCCACAGAAAGAGACAAGTCATAAGTCTCCCAAAAATGCCTTTTTTGATGGCTATGAAAGGGACCGTAAATCCAAGAGACATGGGTGATGGAATCAACAGCAGAATATTGCACAATGGTCAAATGAAGTTAACAGCAGTCATAACTTGAACAATAATATGGTCTTTCCACCAAGGGCACATGCCACCAGATCTTCCAAAAGCTGGCACAAAATAGATGTTGAAACCCAAAGAACGGGCAGTATGAACTATACCTGCATCTTTACACTTAGTTTCAGATAAAGACATAAACAAGGGCTTATTTAATCTTACTTGCTCTCTAAGGCATCATCTGTCAAGTCTTGCTCAATCCTTGATAGTTCTAAGTGACGTAGATCATTCGGGCCCTGTGGTTGCATCAGGTGAACCACCACCACCCTGGAGGTTTTCTTGGTCTTCCAACACCATCAAAGCTTTACCTTTATCTTGTTTTGCAGGGAAATAGAAGATACATAACTACTCAAGTCCACCACCTTATCTTTTTGCTGGCAATCCCACATTGTTGCCAACGTACGTCGGCTAGCATACGGTTTACGAACTAGGCCTCCACCTTGATAAGAAGCTTCATTCGAGTGAATTGTCGTTACAGCATCAGTCTCATTAGACTCCAAAATGACCAACTTTGCCAATGGCCTTTTTAGAATGATTTTTGCAGTGGAAGAGCCCACCAGAATCCCTACAGTATTGTGATGAAAGTGATGAAAGTTTGGGGCAGAAGTTGTCATTGCAGGTACTGGAGGGGGATGAGACATAATGCTAGTTGGGGAATTTGTGTGATAGTGGGTCAGTTAACTTGGATAGGGGGATTCATTTTTGGCATGCCCATAATGTCAGTGATGGTTGCAAAAGCCTCATTGGAGAAGTAAGTAGTTGAGACAGTAGGTTTGTTTCCACTTTTCAGGTTAGAGGATAAGGGAAGTTTGGTGAAATATGTGATGTGGTGGGGGAGGATATTTGATGAGTGATGGCTAATGGCCGACAAGATTGGGTGTGGAAAGGACTTTTGCAATGGTTGATTGGGGGTGGGTCTATTAGGACAAAAGGAATAAGTCCTAGAATTATAGATCGGAAAGTTTCTCTGGAGAAAGTCAAAATCATATATTTTGTGGCATGTTGTTGGATAAGTGGCTTGGAGTTTGCTGGGCTAACTTGACAGTGGGAGTGGCCCCAGTGGTAGACAATTAAAGTTCCAATGATGGCATGTCAATTTGCATGGCTGACGCATGGACAACACATCTGCATAGAGAGTTTAGAACATTGATTGATTCTGCATCCATGGCATCTGTTGAGCCACGCCTGGTGTTGGCCCATTCCACTGTCGAAAGTTTCTATCACTGCTGCTACCAACTTAGAGGTTGGTTGATCGAGACTTTTACACCCTAACTTGTTGGCCGACCATGTTAGTTTTGCAAGAAAACTAAGTATTGTGATTACTTACCTCAAAAGCATAGTACTTATCCAGATGACCAAACTTGCCACACCTAAAGCAGAAGTTGGAGAGGCGTTCAAATTTGAAGACCACTCTGGTCCTCCCCTCATCACGTCATTCTAGCCAGAAATCATTGTGAAGAGGGTTCCTAGCATTCAGTTGTAGATGGACCCGAAGGCAGTCTCTGATTCTTTCTGGGCCATCGAATAGGTCTTCCATCGCCAACAATTCTCCAAAAGGTTGACCAAAGTCTCGGGCATTTTCTACAAAGAAATCTTCCAAAGGAAGGCCATGCATCTAAACCCACTAAGAGACCTAGTGGAAGGGGATCTCATCAAAGGATAAATGAGGCGGCCAACATTGAACTACTACGCAGTCCCCCACCACATTCCAATGACCACCTTCATTAACTTGGCTCGCAACGTTCTTAGAAGGGTCGTGATTGTGAACATGGAGTCGACAAGCCACGATTTTGAAGTCCCCATACAAAAGCCAAGCCTTTTTATCAAACCAATGGTGTTGCCCCCACGAGGCCGGAAATTCTATTATTAAGAAAGCAGCCAGGCATGTCCCTCCTCTTGTGCTTGAGAGATCCAGATTTCTTTCCAATTGAAAGATGAGATTCTTAGTATCTCGTTGGTTCTCTTCCATCTTGGTGTGTCTCAGGTGGTTTTGAAAATTGGTTTTTGTAATTAGCACTTTGTGGTGGGGGATAAGAGTGAAGGTTGAGATTTGGACGATTAATGGCTCTGGGGTTGCTGGGCTCTTATAGTGAGAGGTTAAGCTTTTGTTTGAGAAGTCTGGATGATTTTCCCACAGAAAAAGTGATATTGGGACACCTAGTGATGTATGTGATACTTAACTTAGTGAGATAAACACTGAGACTTAATTGGGGGAGAAGGGACACTGAACTGATGAGAATTAAAAAAGGGAACCATAATTGAACTGCTGGCGATGCGTAAATGAAACTCAAGACCAGTTGAAGAGGGGAAGATATTTTGGATCTTGGGAACTTATGGATAAAGGACAAAAAGGCTATAGAAGAACACCGGGAAGGGATAAAGTGAGATAAAGGGACTTCAAGTTTGGTAGGGAGTAAATCGAAGAGAGAATAAAAGAATGGAAAAATTGGGTTTCAAAAATTAAGCTCCATAAGCCAAAAGAGAGAGAGAAATTATGAAGGCTTGCTTGATATAATGGAAAAGATAATTGATTTGACTGGAAAGTGGGTATGATATTTCTAAAGGGGACAAGAACACTATATAGCAATCAGCCAATCAGAGTCTAGGATTTAGAGGGGGAGAAAGGGTTAAAATGGGTAATACCATGAGAGGAAAGAACATGAGGGCAAATCTAGATGAGAAGAAAAGAAAGGGACAAGGGCTCACCTAGACAGAGTACAAGTGAGGGAGAAGGCTCACATTGGAGAGGAGGGGGGGCGCTCTCACGAAGGAGAGAGAATGTCATAGAGGAGAGGTAAAAGATGTGAGATAACCGAAGGGATTTTGTGATACAATTTGAATTGAATAACATCAGGGGATTTTTGTGTAATTTTAAAAACCTAAAAAGGGAATTCCTTAAATACAAAAAATCTCAGGAGTGCATGTGAAACTAACCCTTCCTGTAAAGTCATTTAACCCTCCACGTACGACGTTGCATTACTTGTTGACCCGCTTTATCCTGTTTTTTCTCTCTCCCGCTCCTCTCTCTCTGTCTCGATCGGAGACTGACAAAGCCTCTTCCCCTCCCTCACCTTTTTGAAATCCCCAATTTTCCCGCCTGCTCTCGTTCGATTTTCCTTCTGGTCTTCCTGCTCTCTATCACAGTCAGTCGTCATCCTCCTCGGTTTGCAAGTAGCAGGGCGATTAGGGTTAGGGTTAGGGTTTTTACCTAGGAGAGGCCTCAGGGAACAGCGATCGTACTCATCATCGAAAGGAAGAATTGGTTAGGGTTTCTGAGAAATGTCGACGGTAGGATTCCCCTCCATTTTTACATTCCTAAATTACTTCTACTGTTTTTCTATATTTCATTTTTCTGGGATTTTGTTCGTTCGCAGACGGAAGCTCTCTACTCCAAACTCTACGAAAAGTACACAAAAATCAAGGTGTTCTGTGTTCTTTCCCATTTTTTTACCATCTTTCTTTTCTCATTCATTTTTTTGCTTAATCAGTTAATTGTATGTTAAATTTGCTCAGGAGAAATTTGAGGTTGGGGAAATAGAAAGTAATTGTCTTTTTGTACTTCTGAATTTTGGGTATATTGTAACGTATTGTAAGGACCTACGTGCTGCCTATACTCTGAATTGGATAAATCTATTTAATCTAATCTGTTGTGTCGCCCTTTTTTCCTAATCCACGGTGGTTGTTATGCCGTGGCAGACGAAGAAATGGTCAGAGTTGGATGAAATTGGTAGAGAACAAGAAGGAAAGTTCAAGCATTATGTATCTGGTATTTATTTTTCCGTCTTAGGATTTGTTAGAATTATCATGCTTGATCTCCTTTCTCACGTCTTTTAAAAACATGATTATTTTCCATAATTGTGACTATGGCTCAAACTCTACTGCCTCTCTTTGGCCCAACTTTCTTGTTTATTTACTATCTTGCAGTTGCAGAGGAGTATATACAACATTTGCGAAATCAAAATGAGAGGTTGCGCTTGGAAGTTGATGAGCTGAGAAGTGAAGTGGACTTCTATTAGGCATGAAATTTTAAGTTCTGTTGGATCCATTAGAATTCCGATTAGTCAAATTTTACTATAACAACCTAACAGGCTATGAAAATATGTATCACGTGGAATGTAGGTCTACCAAAGATGAACAATGTACCGAGTACCAGAATCTTTTGATGGAAGAGAACAGGACAAGTAAGACAATGCTGTAACTACTATAATCCATGTGAAAGCATCTGGATCCTGAGTTTCTTTCTTTATTCTAACTGAGCTTATAGGAATTTTCTATTCACGTATACTATGGAGTGTCATCTCGGTGAACCCTGTATTTATTTTCTGATAGGAATTAAAATGTCATTATTTTATAGGTTTTTGGAAATTGAATGACTGATTTTGCATATATTGTTAGAAGCTAAAGTGTCACTCATGTATAGAATAAAGATTGTTGTTAATAGTTATCATTAAGCATGTAAATCTTGTTCTGAAATTCTTGTTCTGGTTGCAACTTACAAATTAGTTCAGGTCTGCTGCCATCACCTGGATTTAAAGAACTCTAGTGATGTTACGAGAGTTCACCTGTCCCTATTTTAATGCGAATGAATATAATCACGATGCTCTTTAAAAAGCCCAAAAAAATGAAGAGGGTGTTAGATGGACATCAAATGTGGAAGAAAGACAAATCACCAAAAAGAGAAACAAAATGGAAAATCATTTTCGCCTGTGTATAGGATTCCTTAAATTTGGAAAGCATTTATGAGCTTCTTTAGTTTTCTTTTGCTCAACCTGTGGTGGTCATCTAAAACCTCTTTCTGTTTATTGATGACTCATATTTTTGGCAGATAAAGAGCTTTCTGAAGAAGTAGAGAGGCTCCGAAAGCTGCAACAGGTGGGAAATCTATCGAATGATAGCAACATAGACAATGGTGGACTGTGTACACCTGCTAGTGGTCAAGTATCCGGAGCAGCAGGAAATCTCTCAAAGAGAAGAAGGACAAGTAAACGTAGGAAGAATTCCCACTCTGAGACAGAGGATATAGTTATGCCTTCTTGTGGGGCTGTTATAACTGTTCCAGAGGTATTTCTGATAATCCTATAAAAAATATATTTGAGCAGAAACTTATTGGCTCCTCTTTTTTCACTGACTAATGTAATCTTTCAGCCACAATGGTGTAGAACGATTGAAAGACAAGGTATGTGTCTCCATCTCTGAAACTGAGGTTTTTGGTATGGTATTTTTTCACATGGTATTGGGTTATTTTAGGCGTTGTATGTTGTTTCCAGGTTGTGTAAAACCAATTGGCCAAGTGAACTGCGTGTTTCAAGTGCTTGTTGAGTATATGGTGGATTTAAAGTTCTCGACTGTTAGTCAGGCCGAAGAAATATGCATCTCAGCTGTGCATCAATCAAGTGGTAATTCTTAGAGTTTGAGCAGACTCTACATTCCAGCTTGAATTTTTCCCTCAAATTTGTCACTGTTTTTCTCCTCTAGTCTGATAAGTGCTAGGATTCTAATTTTTCATTGTTTGTTATATATTCTCTAATTCTGTATAATAAGCCCAATATTTGTTATTTTAGTTTAAAAAAGAATCCTATGAATTGGTAACTGCCTGGGTTAGTGAGCACTTCTCAGAGGCAACATAGATGGATATTGGAATTGAGTAAGAGCTGCTAGTGAACCAAGCCACTTTCAGACTACTCAAGCTTTGGGCTTTAACAATTCTGATTTTCTGACAATGCCAATTGAGCCTAATACCTTATGAACATCAATGTGTCACATTGTAGGTTTAATTTCTCATTTAAGTGGAAAATTTTGTCATTTGACAAGATTACAATTGAGTATCAGAGGCAGGCTTGTAGATAAGTCCATGAGTATGTTCAAAGTTTTGGCTTAGCCTCCTAAGCTCCTACGAAATCATGCAAAACATGTTGGAAAAAACTGAAACATCAACATTCAAGCGAAGTGCTAGAATGGCAATCCATTTCTGACATGCTGAGCTAGATAATAGATTTGCCCAAATTACTGAACTGAACAAACAAGTCGATGTTAGGCTGGAGTCTGACTACCTGCTACTGTAACGTAAAGCATATCCTCTCTGTAATTATTTTCTTGCCCGAAGCACTGGAATTGAAGCTTTAATGCTTGCATGTTCCTACACTGATATGGATATCATGGCGGCTCATGAATTAGTTGTTGGTATCAACATTTGATGATTATCTATGGTTGTAACAGGTTATGCCTTCAATCTTACATGGATGAACAGAGCTGCAGGTAAAGAAGTAGAGCTTCTGTACCGCACCTCATCCTTGGGAACGCTTGAGAGGGTAGCACCAGAATGGATGAAGGATGACATAGTGTTAAGCCCAAACATGTGCCCTATCTTCTTTGAAAGGTTATCTCGTGTTGTCAAGCTGCACTCCTAGTAGTCTAGGGATCGTGTTGTCAAGCCCAAACATGTGCCCTTCTCCCTCTGTTCCTTCTGTTGTCTAGGGATCGTTGTAGGTTATATATATTGGAAAGTCTGAATTGCACATTTTTCTTACAATTGAAGGGTTGAAAGTTGACTAAATCTCACATGATCCTTTGCATTTGAATAGAAATTAAGAGCATTTATTTGAGAAATGGTCGACCACATGACCGCATGAGCCACGATATGAAAATTATTGCCTATATTAGTGTGTATACTGCATGTTCAAGTTGAACTACATCGTCAACGGACCTAACTGGATATATAGTTCTGCTGTAAATTTGTCACGTTATTTGTTGAAAAAATATGAGCAAAAACTACTCACGTGGAATGGATACCTGTGTCCCCCCTCGCTTGCTTTAGCAACAGATTCTTTGTTAGTTTCCCGTATAGATTCAATGCGTCGGGTGTTAATAAAATTCCTCTCAGGAATACACGATGGAGTTCCAACCTTGGCAGTGCTATTAAGAACCTTAACCCCCACCGCAATCAGATGCCTTCTTGTTGAAAACATAATTAGGTAAAATATTGAGCACGCAAGGATAGACCGCTTCGTCAGCAAATTCTTTCTTCTTTTCCTCGATTTTGTTGATATAGGCCTTAAAATGAGCAGATAAGCGATAGATGACATAGTCGATAAATATCTTGATGCCCAAGTTACTGGCAAATTTCTTGGCGCCGCTGCGTCACTTTGACATCAAATGCCAAAATGGCTGCAAATTCATTCTTCTTTTCGATCATTTACTGGCCTTTTGACATCCTCTTCATGTACGAGGCCTATGCTAGTACCGCTAACCGGAATATTAACTTCTGGGGCTTGAGAAACTCTAACAATGCTTCCAAGGAGCTGACGGTAGATGCTTGTACCCAAACTCCCTCACTAGTGCCTTTTGTTAAACATGCTGAAGCCTAACTCCATAACGGCTAAGTTCTTGACTGCTTCCATGTCGTCATGAGGCCCTACCACATGACCGAGAAGTGCCGGCAATAGCATGTTCAAGACCCTCCACATCTACAATCTTGATGAACTGTGCAGCCTCGATTTCACTATGATCTTGATAATCTGTTCCCTTCACACGAAGTTCATTCATCGATTTTGGTGTCATCAAAGCTTAAATTGAAGTAAGGATAGGTCATGCATGTCGCAAACAACAATTTGATCACCTTTGGGAAGCATACCGTTAACTAGTACGTCTTTTTATTGATTGAGAACGAGTGGTAACCGCCGTCTTGGTGTCTGCATTCTTTACATCTTTTTCTGTACGAGGTTCAGGCTCATAAGAAGATCCATGTTTAAGAGCATCATCCCAGCTCTTTGCATCCCATTCAGCATCGTCATTGTCACTTTCTTTCGTCCCATTCTCTTTAACAGATTCAGCGCTGCAAGATCTTTCCTCTACACGCATTGAATATTCCACCTCTAAATCTACAGCCTTGTCACATTCCACATTATCCGTCTCCAGTACGCCATTTAGATGGGCCGCTGCTCGTTTTGACTTCCTTTTCTGATGCAATCATGCAAGGGTCTTTTAGCCGGGTTCTCATCGGTGGTAGTAGGGATAGGCAACCCCAGGACGATACATTGGCAAGTATCTGGTTTCTCGTTGCCACCCACCAGCAAGCTGCTTCTTTTTCCTTTGCACTAAAAATCTTGCCTTGTTGTCTCTCTTTCGTAACTTCTCCTTTTCCCTTTCCTTTTGTGATGTCGGACCTCCTCCTTTTCCCTCTCGAGTTGCTCCTCCCTGAGCCTCTCTTTTTTATTTCCTTAGTCTCTGTTCTTCCTCCTTTTCCCTTCTCTCTTCCTCTTTTTTCCGTCAAGCAGGGCCTCTTGCTTCTATCTGACATGCTTCGGCACTTTCTTGTCCGCGGCCGCTTTTACCGTCACCTGCTGCCGCTGATGCCTTTTCTCCTTCTCCTTCTCTCTTCTTCTTTTCCACAGCAGACAGCATAGTAATATCAGCAACTTCTTCGTTTTCACCCAGATCCGCGATTAGAGCAACTGTGTCAAGTTTGGACTAATGATAAGTTGAGAATCAGCAGCTTCAAATCTAGGAGTAGTCATCGTATTTGTTTGATCTTGAACCTTAATGAGAGCTTAGAGTTTAGATAGTTTCTTGATGTTAACTGATATGAAATCCCTTTATATATTCATCCATCACAAGCCCGACCATGGCCTTTAAGCAATCGGGAATCTTTAGGATTCCTTGGGAGAATAGGAAATTGATGTAGGACAAGATATGATTCAATTCAGACGAAGCAAGACAAAGAAAATAAAATGTTTCAAATTTTGGGAAAGATGAATTAAAGTTGCAAGATATTGGATTCAAATGATATGGCGACTGAAAAGGCAGTAAGAAATATTCGGGAGTCGTAATTGGACTTCTAACATGTTGTTTTATAGAAAATCGTGAGCAGAATAAGACTCATGATTAACCATGAGTTTGTCGTGTTTAAGGCAAAATAAGATGGTTTTGATTTCCAGATAAAAAACGAACTTGTCGTTTTACGTTCGATTTTACTTCTTTTACATTCCCTAAGACTCCCTGTTCTAATGACAATCGATCGTGGGAAAAGCAAAACTCTAAGCGACGTTGTTCGTAAGGGAAGTACCGAATATTGAGTAGGAACACGTTATGGGATTCGCCTATAGCCAACCTCATCAAATTTTCATGAAGGATATTCATTATTTCAAAGATTGTGAATGTATTGAAGGATTTCACCTATGGATTGAAGATGTCAAGTTGTTCTTTGAAATTATGAAGATTCCAAACGAGAAGATCGTGAAGATAGCTTCCAAAAGGGAATATCCAAATCGCAAACAAGCTCAGCCAATTGTCGAAGCAGAGAAGGGGGAAGAGTCTCGAATGAAGGTGATTGGAGAGCCGAATGATGAGATCGTATTTGAGGAGTCGACGACGAATTCTGACATGGAAGTTGAATTGCCAATTCAAAATGATGTTGTGATTGAAGGGGAAGCCATAAAAAGAAGAAGACAATGATCAAGTTGGCATCCATGACGAACAAGATATTGGTAAAACTCAAACTATTGTGGTCGATATGGCTGTAGGAGATAAGCCATTTTCAAACACGAACATGAACTGCCTAGCATGTGAACCTGGACAACAAGATGAGTCAGCTACATATTCAAATCTTATTTATGGAATCGACCACATAGTTATACCGTCCAGGTTTGAAGAAGTTTTGGCTGCTCATGTTAAGGGTTATATGTGCTTTTCTAGCTTCGTAATTCCTAGTGTCACAGTCAATTTTAAGACAAACTCGAGGTCAAGTTCCCTTCAAGTGGAGCCTGATGTAAACAAGGTATAAGTAAATTCTGACGAAGAAAGATAAAGCAAATAAAATATTTCAAATTATGGAAATGATGAATTAAAGTTGAGAAATATTGGAGTTAGTCGACGTGGTGATAGAAAATGTAGCAAGAAATATTCTGGTGTCATAATTGAGCATATAATATGTTATTTTAAAGAACATCACTATCAAAACAAGACTCATAGTATACCATGAACCCGTAGAGTTTAAGGCCAAAAACGATGGTTTTGATTTCCAAAACATCGTTTTAAAGTTTGTAATTAAAATCAGACTTTTCGTTTTAATTTACTTTTTTTACATCCTTAAGACACCCCTAAACTTTCCAAGGATCGAGTTAAGTCTATTTAAGCCCTATGGCTCCCAAATTAATGTCTCATTTTAAGTATTATTCAATAAATCTTATAAGTGAGGGGTCTTAAGTTCGATTTTCTTCAAAGGGGTATTTGAACCACATTATATGACCGACCTATTGTCAGGCTTGACCCAACCTTCACCCTCTTAGTGTAGATGAAAAATAAAATGTGTGTGATCCCTTCTCTCACTTGAGACTTAGACCCATTTTAGAAATTAAATTTCTTAATTTGTTTTTATGCATATTTATCAATTGTAAAACCATAATATTTGACTTTCATACAAATTTTTTTTTTAAAACCATTTGATTTTAGTTAATAACTAATTCGATATCAATTTATTATATTTAGCCCAAATCTCTTACTTTTTGAAGTATTTAAAGTAAAGTTATCACGAACTCACATGTAAAAATGGGTATCCCTACGTTTTACGGATCACAATAAAAATTGGCCCCGGAAAAAAAGGAAAGTAACAAATGGAAACCAAATAAGTAGCCGTTGAAGATAAAGAAAGGAAAGAATATATTACAATGACACCAGCTGCATTTGCAACGTTCGGAAAATTTTGAATACCTTTACGCCCCTCTGTCCGACGTCGTTTAAGTCCCACCCCATCAGCGTTTTAAACCAAACTCTGCAAACCCATCTTCTTCCACATCTCTCTCCCTCTCCCTCTCTCTCTCTCTCTCTCTCTCTCTCTATCTCGTCACTCAGAAGAGGGAAAGAAGAAAGGAAAGTAGGGCCTTCTCTCTCTGTGCGTTTGAAAAGCGGAGTCTCCGGTTGATTTCCGTTTTCGATCTCTGTTTTAGGAAAACGAAGAGAAAGAAAGAGGGATTATGGCTGCCGTGAACCAAGATAACAGTCTAGTAGTGGCCGGAGCCACTGCCCCCTCGAACTCAAAGCAATCTCAGCCTCGCCCGAAGACCGTTGATTCGCAGTCCGTTCTCAAAAGGTACCATCTTCATCCTACTTTACTGGTGAAGAATGATTAATGGGATTTCTGGGTTTTTTGGGGGATTCTCTTTGTCAGATGAGCTATTTGAATAATGGATAAGGGTTTAAATTCACTAAATTTGTTTTGATAATTGGAGGTTTTCGAGATTTATAAATAATCTAACCCTTTATTGTTGTGTTATCGAACAGGCTGCAATCTGAGTTGATGGCCTTAATGGTAAGACCTCCCCCAAGACTCGATCTTTTCTCCTTATCTTCCGTTTGGATCCTTATTAGAATTTGATTGAATATGTTTCGAGATAGTAATTTTGATGCTTGTTAGATAACATTGGATCGGATTGGATTGGATTGGATATTGTAGATGAGTGGGGATTCTGGGATATCTGCATTCCCTGAGGAAGACAACATATTCTGCTGGAAAGGGACAATGATTGGAAGCAAAGAGACCGTGTTCGAAGGAACGGAGTACAGACTCTCCCTCACCTTCCCCAATGACTATCCCTTCAAGCCTCCAAAGGTCAAGTTTGAGACTCTCCTCTTTCATCCCAATGTCGATCTCGTCGGCAACATTTGCCTGGATATCCTTCAGGTAACTTCCTCAAACTTGTACTAGCCCAATTCAGTCTCAATTATAATATCGTTTGTCCTATGTATCTCAATCAATTGGTTGCAGGATAAATGGTCGTCTGCTTATGATGTGAGAACCATACTCTTATCCATCCAGAGTCTTCTAGGAGGTAATCACTGTTCTCTAACACGTTTGCTTATCGAATTGGATAAAATCTGAATTGAAACGAAGGTTGAGTGCGTACTAAATTTCAATCTTTGTTTATGTGTATTGCAGAACCAAACATCAGCTCTCCTTTGAACGCTCAAGCAGCACAACTGTGGAGCAACCAAGAAGGTAAAAACGCGTTTGAATTGAATTTCCTTTTACTAATTTTCGGAAGAAACAAAAAAGCTTTGTTACCATGAGAAGTGTCTGACTGAGTAATGCTTTCCGTGCGTGTGTCTTGCAGAATATAGGAAGATGGTGGAGAAGTTGTACAAAGCTCCGAAGGCTTAACAATCAAGACGATGGCAAAGAAGTAGTGTTAGGTTAGAGAGAGTTGAGTGATTACTATAGAATCCAAGCCTCTCTAACTTGGATTAGAGAGCATGGATTGGATTAGATTGGATTGTTTGGAGGTTTTTTAGTAATTCCTTGATTTGTTCTTGTTCTTGTGTTTCGCTCTCTTGTTTTCCAGATGAGATATTTAGACAATGTTCATCAAAATTCTGAGTTAAAATTGTCCTGTGTTTCACTCCCTCTCTTCTTGGCTATTCTCTCTGTTTGTTCAGATTTAGGTGTTGGACAAGTCAATTGTTATGTTAACAAGCAACATTCTTACAATAAATCGTCAATTTGTTGGATTCGTATAGATGATGACCAAACAATCTTCGAATCGAATGAATATTTCTAAAGATGATCTTGACATCAGGAAACAAATGGCAACTTCAACCAACAATTGGGGTTTTGCTGTAGGGCAGAAATCTTGTGGTGATTTAAGAAGCAGCAGAACTAGATTTATGATCAATTCGAACAATACCATGGCGAACAAAACTCTCAATCGCAGTGTAGGAATAAACCACACTTATAAAACCATATGCAATCATTACGATTAACAGGGATCTAAATCTCAAATACTACGTAAAATCAACAACAGGCGTCTAAGCTTCTACACTGTCGCGCAATATTTTCACCGCCACCGCCTGTTCTCATTCGTAAACCCAAATTACTTCTTTGAGTTCAACCCAGATTACAAGCTTAACTGAAGGTACAAAATCCTATGGCTTTGATGATGTGAGCTGCCGCAAATTGTACTTGGCCAACTGCTTGTACTTGTCAACAACACCGATTAAGCAAATAGTCTGTCAATCGAAACAAAATGGGATTTTAAGCTAAAAAGAAATCAACAGTTCAAACACGAGTATCTTTTTACCATAATTCTTCTTTCGAATGGTGGCGTGACAAAAAAGAAATAGGCGCACAAGGAAAAGAAACTTTCTTACCCTGCAAATTTCAACAACAATGGTCTTATCAGGATTGCTGAGGTCAACTTTGTGCGGGGCAGGCACAGATTTTGCCACTGCATTTATGATTTTCATCCTGTCAATACCGGTGTTTGCACGGGCTTCATACAGGACTGCAAACTGAATGGACGATATAATAAAATCAGAAACCATTTCAAGTATCTAGTAGATTAAAATTTTGTTTATACTCAAATAACTCCAAACTATCGAGTGTTAAAAACAAATCACAAAAAGTAAAAAAAAATGTCAGAAAAAGCTCATCAGATTTATTTCCAGTTCATTAATAAATCTCCCACTGGCTACATTCAGCAAGTAGAGGCAGCTTTTCCATCAGACTTTTGTGTCTTATGGTGAAACGATCTCTTAAGGCAGTCAAAACAAATTAAAATCGGTTTGTAATGATAAGAGAGATGTGGATATCTTTTTTGTTAATAACAAAAGGCAGACGAGGATTAATGACATATCTTACCTTCTGAGGATTCTGAGTTTCCACTGGAAAGTGCTGTTCAAGAAGTGGTTTGATTGCTCTTGAAATTTCCTCTTCTGAAGAATAGCATGCTACTTCAACGGGTAATACTCTTAGGATAAACCTATAATATGCAAGTAATAACAGCCAGTTTGAGAATTGAGATCTCTCTTCCATACATATTCTTTGTAAAAAAAACATAACAAGCAAAATAATAAACCTTGACATGTGTTTCTTCGTTGCAGCAGCATATGTCATCATATGCTGCACAATTGCGTTAGGGCTAGGATCTCCCTCTCTCTTCCGCATTTGAACAAAGACAACACCGTTGCAACCCGATTCAAGGGTGAAAAAGCGTCTCTATAAAATAATCCAACATCAGCATAAGAAACCATTCCCTTAAATTGATTGCAAGGAAAGTTGGAAGGATTAATCATGTAGCACACGCACCAAGATATCTGAAGAGATATGCAACTAACTTAAAACCACCCAGAAACAAACCTATTTCGCATTCAAAACCACTGGGAAATCAAGGAAAAAGATGATCAAGCTAAGCAACGGTAATGAACTATTAGAATTCAGTATGCTAGAGCTAGTACAGAAAAATATGAGGGACATGGGATGAAAACTGGATCTGTAAGACAGGCTAGAACAGAAAATTACTCCTTAGACCTAAATTCAATAAATTAAGGTGTTCAACTATACATGCCCTTCAAAAGAACTAACCTGAAGTAGGAGAAATCCTAGGAAATGAAAGAGGAGATGGTCATACTAAGCAAGCTAGTGAACCGTTAAATTCAGAACGGTAATGCTAGTACCAAAAATGAGAGAAATCAGCATCGATGAAACTCAGGCAAGTACAAAAATGTCAAAAAAAAAAAAAAAACTAACATATTAGCACATTATAGAAGCTCACCTTGTTCTTATCTCCCAGTTCTTGAAGCTCGGCTTCAATTAGCTTATCAATGGACTTGTCTTCCACTTTGTATGGGATTGTACATTCTGATGAATCTGTTCCTAGACATTGTTTCTTTGCTGGTGGCTCCTCAGCTTCATTTGCACAAATTTCCTTACTTAAATTATCCCCTTTCTTGTCATTAGTGTTTTCCCCAGTTTTATTTTCTCCACATGTGTCATTTTTCTTCTGGTGTTCTGATTTCTCACTTGTTGCATTATTATGACTGGCACCATCACTACGAGAATCACCTTTGCTCTCTTCACCCACTTCACCCTCTTCTTCTGCTTCCTTGTCCTCTCCTCCTTGTTTCTTGTCCTCTCCTTCTTGTTTCTTTTCATCTCCTTCTTGTTTCTTTTCATCATCATCATCATCACCCTCACTACTGGAAGAATCAGAATACGAGAACACTATTTTCTTATTTGAAGGTTTAGAGGGTGCCTCAAAAAGGTTTAAACCCGAATCCTTTCCACTGACTAGCTCTTCATAAAACTGCAAAACAAACCAAAACAACCAAATAGATTAGTTTCTCACCTAAAACAGACAAGAGGAAAAAAAAAATAAAAAGTCTAGGACACCATCTTATAAGTTTAAGAGCACTTGGCATTTTGATTTATGGGAAAGAAGAACTAAAAGTAGAAACTAAGATACACTCTCTCAATATGTTATGAATTCTCTTAAAAGAAGATACATATACGCATAAGCCAATACGTATACAAATTGTGCTCTTATTTATTTACCTGCACCAATACGTATGCAAAGAGTTTTCTTATGGCCCTTAACTATTAATTCTTCAAACTTGGTGGCGCACATTTAAAGATGAAAACAAAGTTAATAAGGGGGAACCAACGGATTTTAAATGATACCCTCTTCTCTTGGCCCTGTCACTATTACTTCTCCCAAAGGGATAAACTGGGATAGTCCATGGGTGGATGTGGAAGGACTACTCTAGGAAGCACCGCAAATCTTATGGCTATGTGGATGAACGGTACATTACATGGTATTGATATTATTATTCACCTTTTGGCCATTGAAACAAAACACAGATAGTAGTAGGTCTCTAAGAAGCAGCTTAAAAAGATGGTTACGCCAAAGTTGGGCCAATCCATGTACAAACACAATTAAGCTAGACGAGAAATCCAACCCAAAAGCAGAAAAGTAGCAACAAAAAAGAAACCCCACACAGATTAGTAGCAAAAAAAGCAGAAATTTGGGAAAATAGCACCTCCCATATCAGCAAGTAGAGTATGAAAAAGGTAGAACAAGTAAAAACCCAGATAGAAAATTGGGAAAGATATATGGGATTTGAAGAAAAGAGAAAAGAAGAGAGAGCTTACAGAGTCAATAACATTAATGGCCTCCTGCGAGGCTTGGCGTTCCCTTCCGCCATCGCAAGTAATGAAGAATCCTTCCACTCCTGGGTGTAATGGGTACGCGCCTTTCTTCTTCACCGCTTTCTGTACATCATTACAATTTAACAACAACTAACTTCTCACTTAACTAACAATTCAACTCTGTCTAATTATCTCAGCGAAATTGAGAGAGAGAGAAAGAAAACTGACGTTGTAAGGGAGATAGCGCTGCTTCCCCTTCTTGGACTTGGTGGATTTGTTGTCCGTCGCCATTTGTGAGTTTCAGTAGCAGTTTGAGAGAAGACGAAGGCAAAAGACGAGGAGGCGCGGCGACAGCAGTCGCAGTTGCAGTTGAGCAGTCGATACTTCCTTTATTGGGTGAGTGACTGAGTCCACAACGCTGGGCCTTGAGGGCCTTTTGTTTTGCTGGACTACAATAACACCGGATTGGACTTCTTTCATCTTTGTGGGCCAAACCATTCGATTACACTGTATTCTCTCCCGCTTTTTTTTATTCACGGGGGAATTGTTGAAATTTAATTAATCAATTGTGGTTACATTCACATGTGAATAAAATGTGCATATGAGCAAAGCTTCTCCAGCATATAGCCATCGTTCATAGAATTTTAAATTTAATTTCATTTTTTTCAATTCTTAAATGGCTGAGAAATGAGAATCACATGCCATTTTTTTTTTTAAACACATTTTTGTTTATTTATGTCCATTGTTTTCTTTACTTTGTTCAATTTAATGGTTAAAAGTAAATAAAAATACTAAAAAGTGTGTAAAAATCAACTTGTGCAATGCATAACTGATATCCTGCATCTCGTCACCAAGCCTACGAAGAAGCTTAACAACTGGCTGAAGCCCAACAAACACACTAGCATGCAATACTTGTGGCTAATTCTTAACGTATTCACAAAGTTTCGACCTTGGAATCCCAATTTTCTCCAAGTAAGCCAACACAGGTATCGTATATTTTCTCACACCAGTATCCGAGCATTAACAGGGTACTCATTAATGTCGTCAACGGACTATCCCAGATACTAAAGGAACTCTACTCTCTCCCTCATGACTTCATCAGTAGAAGGCAGCTCTAAGTTTTCCAATCCATCAGGAACAATGTCTAAGTTCTTCAAACAATGATGACCCGAGAGACAAGCATCGCTTTTCGACCTTGGGCGACGCCCCAAGTAACGGAGGGCATGTCATACTCTAGAAACTTGGAGGATTGAGTAGAAAATGCATAATTCTGTAAAACTCTTGAAGGGTTTTTGTTAGAATAAAATTGGCTATTCTAAACAAAATGCCTGAGTCTGTAATGTCTTAGACTAGTACATGTTTTCCGTTATAATTATTTTAGTCTAAGTTTGTTCCTAGTACTCTCGATCACTAAACTAGCAATCGTTTCAAAGACATCCACTCAAGTAAATTTGGCATGCATATGATATTGGTTTATGTTTAATGGGCTGTTTAGCTTTTAAGTTTTACAACTGAGATATGCGCTTTACATGTTAATTAATTTCCTACGAGTTCGTTTAGCTTAATTAAAGGCCCACATATTAATATAAGATCTATTTGGAGTCGGATGTTATGCATTTAAAATGAGGATAAATTCAAATGGTTTTAGTTTGAAAAATTTTATTTGAACCTTGATTTTGTATCTCTACACCCAACTTATAAAATTTGTCCATCAAACACCCAAATTTATCCTTAAATAAATAAATGAAAACTAATAATATTAGAACTCAAAACTCACATGAAGAGCAACAACACTATTCTATCCCTACACCCCTCACTTTTTTTTTTCAATGAACCCAATGTGCCGTTGTGATCATAGACAATGGCCTCCACAAATTAGGGTAATGAGAAAAATACTCAAAAATCTCATCCATAGTACGACCCAAATGAATTGAATCCATTGGGAAGAATTACCACTAAAACTTAATGTACTCCATATTATTTTTATAATTATGTTCATCCTAATTCATAATATGAAAGTTTACTATTGGATCTTTTATCCTCTGCGTAGAAACCAGATAGAATACAATTATGTTATGCAAATTACAAACGGTTGACGTTGATGGATTGGGAACAATGCTCCGTCGGCTTCGCCGCCAACACTGATGATGATAGAAAGATAAAAGAATTACAGGCTCCAATCGATTGGTAAAGAGAGAGACGCCAGCGAGGAGGGTAATTGATGGAAGAGAATAGAGCGGCGGCAGTTTTGATGGTGGCATAAGCAGAGTGTTGTGGTGGTTCCTATTCATTCAAGAGGTAAAGAGAAGATGGAATGGTGGTCATTGAAGTCGTCAGGAATGTCCCAACGCTTTGGATTACCGGAAAATACGAATGGGTGTAGAGATAAAAAATTAAAAAAAAAAAAAAAGAAAAAAAAAGTGTTTCTTTTAGAGAGGGTTTAGGGTTCTAAAATTATTGATTTTAATTAATTTATTTGAGGTTAAAATTGGATATTCCATAGATAAATTTTTAAGTTGGGTGTAGAGATACAAAATCAGGGTTCAAATAAAATTTCCCTTTTAGTTTTTATCTCTTCACTTGGTGATCACTTCAAACTCTATTTGATTAGTTGTTTTAATCAATTAGGTTGACGAGTTTGATCTTTCCGTTTCTTTGGCCACCTGATTGATATCTTTAATCTAACAGACACATATTTACAGGTTCATCAGGTTAGGTTTTAAAGTGGTGTCGCATATGCATGAGTTGAGTTTTAGGCTGCTGCATATATCAGAATAGTTTTTCTTGAGTTTTAGTTGCTGCCACACTTCCATTGTTTAAGTCATATATGATAGCCTACATCAGCTAGATGCCTTATATAGATTGATTACCTTGCGGCTGCCATTTTTCGTTTTAAGAAATCATAAAGGGGTTGGTTGCAGCGTTGAGTTTCCGTAAAAAACAAAAGAAAGGTTTCTGCTATTTTCGAAAACAACTGCAGCCACTGTTTTTCGTCAGAATAAGGTCTTGCAATTTGTGTTAGCATGCATTGAATTCGTTGGTTTCGTTTTTCACAGAAGAAAATGATTTTGATTCTACTGCTTTGGATTTTTGACAGCATGTATTTTTAAGAGAGAATAATAATTTTCATGTTGTTTTGTTTTTGCTTTAATTAGAAATCAATTATGAAAATGTGCTTTGTTTTCGTAATTGATTGATTTTCAAAATTATTTCATTCACTCTGCAGATTATCCTGCAAAGTTCGAGGAGAAGCATTAGTGTCATGTCACTTCCATTTGAAGGCTGAAGAGAGATTGAGTAGCAAAGTGCGGAGGCAAAACTGCCTGCTAATATGCGTGTCTAGTTAATGAGTTTTATAAATCTTTCTGTACTTATTTCTCTTAGTGTTTGTCCTAACTTGGGAGCCCGAGGATTTTCCCAGTGATGTGGTTTGCCTCTTTAAATCATACATCCTGTGTACACATTATTTATCGTTTTAATTGCATATGAGTATGATAGTTTGATATGTGATGTGAATGTGGATTTAATTTGAGAACTGAAAATTAAATTGAAAATTGAATTGGATTTTTAAATTGGAACCTATTCACCCCCCTCTAGGTTAAACTAGTACCATCCTAGAACTTTCAGTTTTGGGTACAGGGCAGTTGGGGAAGAGGGTTTTGGTTGGGACATTGGATTGATGGGGAGGATGGAGTAAATTTTTGAAAAACTTGTGGGGTTGGGGGAAATAGTTTGGGGATTTCGGTGACGATGATATGTTTGTATCCTCCTAGCTTAAGGAAATTAACAAATCAAGGGAGCAATAAACACATCAACCTGAAGAGATGACTCCTACCAAGGAGAAACATCTTCAATCCAAATTACGTCATCATGGCATCTCAGTTATGAATATTTAGCAACATTATTACAACTCCTTCGGTATACATAGGACACAGAAATCTCTCTAGAACTTCTGAATCACTCCTTGACTTCATCATATAGATGACCACCCAAAATTAAATCCTCTTCATCTTTTTGAAGCTGCTGAATGACTGTTTGTGCATCTCATTCCAATCAAATAGAAGAGAAGCCAGCTTTCAAAGACAAATTCATCTATGTGTTGGCAATACCTAACAATTGCACACAAAATTGGACATATATATATATATATATCTAAGTTTTATGTAAAACCTAAGAGTATTCTATAAAGAGTAATAATGCTAGGGAGACCAAACTTTTTAAACTAAATAATGTGTCACCAATAACAAATAAACATGTTAATCGACACTTAATTAATAATTCAATCATCTACAACTAAATCATTTAGTTTGTAAATTTAATTTAAAATATTTGGTTTACCTAACATTTCTCTTCCATAGAGGACAATAGAGGAGATAACGCGCCCGGAGCCGGAACCTTCCTCTTCATTCCGCCCTATATGTTTAATGAATAGTGATTGCCTAGGCAAATGGCACTAGAGCAATTACTGTTCATCCAATAATAGTGACTGCCTAGGCCTTCCACCTCCTCGCCTAGGAGGAACGGGTAGAGTTGCTGTAAGAGGAAGGGCAGTTGCCACCGTAACTTTCTTTTTGTCATTGCGAATGACCGCACCAATTCCACCCACTCCGTTTTTACGTGCCTTTTCCCTTGTGAGTTGTAAGTTTTAATTTTGTATTAAGCGAGTGCAGAAAGTAGGATTCATTCTCAATGGCACAACACTTCTTTTTGTCTTCCACACGTTGCTTCTCTATTTCAATAACTTTACAACTGAGGAAAGTATACAAACTTGAGAACATAAATTTATTTATTTCTATTATATGTTCATGAATTTAATTTCATAATGGAAATTGTACTACATGTGAGCATGAATTTAGTCAAATTAGTTAGAGCAGTGTGCTTCACTAATTTGGGTCTTACCTTCTATTAGGGCGAATGAGGGGCGTGTGCAATAGTTTTCTTTCTTTCTCTCGCTCGATCGCTTCAATGCCTATAATTTGAGAGATAAGAGGAAAGCCTTCTCTCGAATTCGAAGATGTGACACAAATAATGACTCTCTTCGCCGGGATGTCAGCAGGTTAGGCAGCTGTAAGGTTTTTTAATATTCGGTGGAAGGCAGGCTGAAACTCTGCCCCAACCAAGTGAAACTAAGGGTCTGAAAGAGTTCACGATCTGATCTATGGCCGCTAAGAATGTCCATTAAAAGGAGCGGGCCGATGGGGTCGTTTTTCAAGCACGAATAGAACGATCGTGAAGGGGGTGCGCAACCTAGAGAGATGGCCGTATCTCTTTGATGAATGTGGTATCGAGGTTCGGTTCATTTGGAAAAGAGGTCAGTCTTAGGGGAGACCATGCGAATGGTCAATTTATCTCCATATTTAGATGAATTTAGTATCCTAATCA